AGAGCTTCCATTTAAGAAAGCCCAGGTAGGATTTCTGGACAAGATTGGCTCCTGGATTGCCAATTGTACATATGAAAAGAATTGAGGGGTCTTAGTAGACCATGATCTAGGGGTCTTAGAAGACCATGAGTCAACAGTGTGATGCAGCAGCAAAAAAAGGCTAATGCTATTCTAGGTTGCATCAACAGAAGCAGAGTGTCCCAATCAAGGGAAGTAATAGTTCCTTTTTATTCTGCCTTGGTCAGATCACACCTGGAGTACTGTGTCCAGTTCTAGGCACCACAATTTAAGAAGGATGTTGACAAGCTGGAACATGTACAGAGGAGGGAAACCAAGATGATGAAGGACCAAGGATCCTTATGAGGACCGGTTGAGGCAGCTGGGGATGTTTAGCCTGGTAAAGAGGAGACTGAGAGGAGATACAATGGCCATCTTGAAATATCTAAAGGGCTGCCACATGGATCAAGCTTGTTTTCAAGCTACAAGAAATGAGATTCTGACTAAACATCAGGAAGAGCTTTCTGACAGTAAGAGCTTTCCACAGTGGAACAGACTCTCCTTTCTTGGAGGATTTTAAGCAGAGGTTTGATGGCCATCTGTCATGCACAGTACAATCTATCAGAGATTCCTGCATTGCTGAAGGTTGGACTAAATAACCCTCTGGATCCCTTCCAACTCAACAATTCTATGAGTCCATATCTCTTATTTATAAATTAAGCCGTACCACATAAGTTTCCAAATTTGTGTATTGATTACACCCTATGATGGCCACTTCCCAACCACCCTGAGTCACATATAGTCTGAGTGGCATTCCCTTCTACTCAGTCCACGCTTTCCCTTTAGACACCTGTCACTGTCACCAGATACAAGGGGAATTTATTTCTACAAGTTTGCCCTTCATCCAATCAGCCTTACCGCTTTCCTGAAGTCTATCTGAAGCCTTTCAAGATTGTTTAGTCTATGGCTTTTAGGCATGGGGGTGTTAAAAATAAGATGACAGGATCCCCAAACAAAAAAATTAATAGGACCAGTTTCTCAAGGAAAAGTTACAGAAAACCAGCAGATCCCCAGTGAAGCAAAGGACAAACAAGGAGTTGCAGACAATCCTCTATCCTTAAAGTTAGAATCCTAGATTTCTTTGTTATCCTCCCAGTATGCATTTCTTGCACCTTTCTCCCCCAGGTGTACAAAAGCCTTTGATGCCTCAGGAGTTCTGCCTTAGACTGATGCCTCCAGGCTGGTTACCTGTAGATGTAGCCTTATCAACGGGTTCCCTGCAATTGAAATTTCCCTGCAAGCGGGGAACAGGAAACCATGGAGCCCCTCAGACAAAAGACATGCCAGCTTTCACAAACACAATGGAGTTCCTTCTTTCCACAGGAAGGGCAAGGCAGATATCATAAATTAAGACCATATTCCACGAATGAACAGACAAGAAAAATGCACATTCCCATATAATGCACAACAGGCCATATAAAAGCAGAGTCCACATAAACAGTCAGTTTCAGCAATCCCGTCACACATACTTACACATCAATTGCAAAAAAACCCCTAAACACACAATTTTAAAATGTGACGAAGGCTTGCTTCCTGTTGCATGTTGGATTTCTCAACCCACCCCAGCTCAAATTTAACTTTTCATTATCCAGAACACCTTTTGGTGTTGTCTATTTTATTTTTTTTATTTTAATTTTTTTAATGACAGTATTTCAGTTAAACAAAATAAAGTGAAAAAAAGAAACACGAAACAAAAGGAGCTTAAAAATAGAAGTATTAGACAACAATGTACTGAATTATAGTGGATTTAGGGTTTTTTTTGTCTTAGAATCATAGAATCGTAGAGTTGGAAGGGACCCCAAGAGTCATGTAGTTCAACCATATTACCAGCTTCCTCACAAAAATATCATGGGGGACTTTGTCATAAGGCTTACTGAAATCAAGATACACTACATCCACAGTATTCCCCTGATCCACCAAGCTTGTAACACCATCAAAAAAAGAGATTCATCTGGAATGACTTTATTTTTGAGAAACCCCTTGATGGGTCTTGGTAATCACAGCATCCTTTTCTAAGTTCTTGCAGACTGACTGTTGAATTATCTGTTCTAGGACCTTTCCTGGAATCGATGTCAAGTTCACCGGTCGGTAGTTTCCTGTCTTGTAAATGCCTATCTTTCTGCCTATGCTTTCTCTGGCCAATAAAACATTATTAAAAGAGTAGGGGACATCTACAGAGTACTCTTCTTTGATCACTAAGTACTCAAGCAATTAGTTCTCAAGCAATTAGAATTAGAGATAAGGGCTGCACAGCTCAAATGGTGGCAGACTTACCCCAGAACCTTTTTCATTACAGCCAGGATTTGCGAAGCATCACTAGATATTACTCCTACTATTGCTAAAAAAGACTCCTTCTCCATTAAGTTAACTCTCCCAAGCAACTCGGGGAGAGAGCTGTCACTCCCAGCTGTACTGAAAAATAAAAGAGTATGCTTCCTAGCAGTGCTATTTTTCTAGAAAAAGAGGTGCCAGAACTCATCATGAATCACTTGTTATCTTATAATGACAATGGCTGCCACCTGAGAGGTGCTGAAACTCAGTTCCAGCGAGTTCCGGCTGAAAAAAAGCCCTGCTTCCTAGATGTATACTCACCCAGGTAACTGGTGGTGTTTATGTATATATATGTATTTATGTAGATAACCAGCCAACCACTTTAAAGAACAGAGTAATAATAATAATAAAATGATATAATTTAGTGTTTTATTAGCAAAGACTTTGCTGGGCAACAGTGTGAGTGAAACTGCATTCCAGTGTAATTACCCCTAATAGTAAACCCCATTTAACATTTTATCTTGTATTTTTGGGATGCGGGTGGCGCTGTGGGTTAAACCACAGAGCCTAGGACTTGCCGATCAGAAGGTCGGCAGTTCGAATCCCTGTGACGGGGTGAGCTCTCGTTGCTCGGTCCCTGGTCCTGCCAACCTAGCAGTTCGAAAGCACGTCAAAGTGCAAGTAGATAAATAGGTACCGCTCTGGCGGGAAGGTAAACAGCGTTTCCGTGTGCTGCTCTGGTTCGCCAGAAGCGGCTTAGTCGTGCTGGCCACATGACCCGGAAGCTGCAATAAAGCAAGATGAGCACCGCAACCCCAGAGTCGGCCACAACTGGACCTAATGGTCAGGGGTCCCTTTACCTTTACCTTGTATTTTTATCTTGTGAACCGCCACCCTGAGATCTTCGGATGAAGGGTGGTATACAAATTTAACAAACAAACAAGCCTTACTTCTGAGCAGATAGATATAGGCTCAGGCTGCAGGAGACTTGCAGAGAGCTCTTTGAAAATGTGGGCAAGGTTGGAAAAAGTAAAATGAAAATAGCTCTACCTCTCCCTTTGCCACAGAGACAAAATAGAAAATGCTTAATTTTAATTATTTTATTTGCTTAGGGGAGGAAGAGCCTTGGAGGGATTCTTCACCGCATTTGCACAGTTGGTGGAACAATTACTCAGCAGCCAGAGAACGCTGAAGAATTTCATTTTATTCAACATTTGGTGCCATCAACCCCTTCATTCTCTCATCTGTTGCAAACAACCAACCAAAACAAGAACAACAAGCACTCTCATTCTCCACCTGAGACACATACCCTGGGGTAAAAGGGATTATTGCAGATTTTTTCTTTTATCCCCAAGGGCTATGCATTAACACTCATACACGTTCTCCATCTCACACACAAACACAACCAGGCAGTAAACTACTACTACAGCTAATAATAAAAATACATAAACAGCTATCTACATGGTCCACATGCTCAGCCAGGTTCTCTCTTATCTCAATCACTTATATACAATAAAAGAAGACTGCTGGCTGTCCACATGGTTCCTTCTGTTTTGCTGACCATGTACTTTCTAAGACCAGCTTCCTCACGCAACTCAAACAGGCAAAATAATGCAACCAAATGTGTCTGTAGGGGGGAGACAATCAGGTCCACTATATCTTCATGCTAACTTCTGTGTCCTGAATTGGTTATATTTTGATAATCAGGAGAAGATAAGTCTAAATAAAGGAGAGTTGAGTAAGGACACCCTACTTCAGGGGTAGGCAACCTAAGGCCCGGGGGCCGGATGCGGCCCAATTGCCTTCTCAATCCGGCCCGCGGACGGTACGGAATCAGTGTGTTTTTACATGAGTAGAATGTGTCCTATTATTTAAAATGCATCTCTGGGTTATTTGTGGGGCATAGGAATTCGTGTCCCCCCCAATATAGTCCAGCCCACCACGTGGTCTGAGGGACAGTGGACCAGCCCACAGCTGAAAATGGTTGCTGACCCCTGCCCTACTCAATCAGTATCCCCCCTCCCCCCCGGAAGCAAAGTATTTTAGTTTTAGGGTTTTTAGAAATACGGCTTCTCCAACCCCTGAACTGCCAACTCAGATTGGATGCATGTGCATGCAGTGAACTCACCACGGTTGCCACCAACCTCTGACTAGAAGGAGGGCCTCCCATCCATTAAGCTGCCCTCCTTGTTACTTCCTGATGGTGGTTTCTGATTTCCTCTCGCCCAACAAAGAGCCTACCAGTTGAGCATAGGGGTGTTTCTCTTGCCCCTAGTTGCCAGAAAGACCTTTTAATTTCCCTGGGCCTCTTAACTCTGCCTGGCTCCCAGTCCATTTCTAAGCTCAGCTTAGAAAAGTGTTGGTGCTGACCTTGAAAACCCTTCATGCTATCAGTCCCTGCAATCTGTTAAATCTCCTTTCCTCCCTCACCAGTCCAGGAGATCACAACTGATGCTAATATCTGGGTTTCCCCATTTGCTGAGATAGGGCATGTTGTAAAAAGAGAGAGTCTGTTGTGCTTTGTGGCAGTCAGCGAGGCTCACTTGGCACCATATTGCTCTCTTTTCAGCACCTGGCTAAGCCGTTTCTTCTCTCTTTTAGATATTTTAGCTTTTAGATCCGCTGAGACATTATAATCTATTTCATCATCTCTTTTAAACATTTTAAAATAGCCATTCAGGACCCGTTGTCCTCCCTACCATTGGCAGTGTAGAGAAAAATCTGTAGCGAAGCACAGTATAATATCAGAAAACATCAAGTTATTGTGATTTTTATATTTAAAACTCTCCTTTATTTATTTATTGGCACAGTATTATTTGCTGCTGTTTTGTCATTTTATTGATTTTTATTGAAGATTTGTATTAAGTTTGTGCTTTGTTTACCTGCCCCGGGGAACTATTTGCACCAAAGATGTTTAATAAACAAAGATCTAAACAACTAGGGCTGTTTTTTTAAGGCACCATTTATCTGTTGTCTTCTGGTTCTCAGCGCTGTTGCAGCCTGTATTTTATTTACTTTGTATTTCATTCTTTTGTCTGTAAACCACACAGGAAATAGTTATACTGAAGTGGGGGGGGGCATATAAATCCTTAAACCAAACAAATAAAATAAATATTCGATGCCATCTTTTTCATTTTCCGTATTTCAAACAACCATCTCTGTGATCTGCACACCAATCCTGTATCCTGATGAAAAGGTAAATGAAGTTTCACAGCCAGGCAAAAACAGGTGCTGAAAAATAAGTAAGGACAAGCTCACAGAGGGGCCTGCACATAATTTGATTTCTTATCAATTGGTTTCCTTGGCACTTGAATGACAAAGAGACTCGCCACACGTTAAAGACTAACGAATTTATTACGGAAAGAGCTTTTGTAGATCACAGCCCACCAAATAATAGATTTAATGGGATTTCTTTTATTCCATGATTTCTTTTAGTTACAGAAAAAAAGGGTAAATTGCTGAAATTTGGGGCCATCCTTTACTACCATGCAGGTAACCATCATATAGTATAATTATGCTACAGGTCTGCTTCTGTGTAACAATAAGCGATGACCATGAGAATTCTTATTTTCTTGGAAGATGGTTATAGACTAAGGAGCCAATCCCAACTCCCCCATTTAGCATGGTGGGGTTATATGGACTATCATGTACTGCAGACCCCATCAGATGCTGGAATGTCAAGCATACAAGTGCACAGTGGTGCACCTGTAGCTGAGTGAGCAGGGACAGCCTGAGGCGTTTTGGCCCCTGAGGTAAAATGTCCTGCTGCGGGGGCAAATACTGTATGAGCTTTTCCTCCTTCATGAGAAGCCCTTGTGGACTCTCCCGTACTGGGCAGGGGGAATGATCCTTTCAGGATGCTCTCCTACCCCTGGAAGCAGAGCTTTGCATTGGCTCCTCCCTTCAGGAGAGGCCGCCCACACTACTGGATGGCGGGGAGGGGAACCTCCCCTGCTGTCCCTAGGCAAAGCTGGGCGATAGACCACCTCTCCTCTCCCTGACTTAGCAGGAGGGGATGCACTATGCAAAGCATCCCTCTCTGTGCCTAGATACCAAGCAGCAAAAGGGGGAGGGCAGAATGGGGGCCACAAGCCTTGGAGGGTGCTGCTTGAGGTGGCTGCCTCACCCCACCTTATGGGGCGACCAGTTCTGTGAGATACTAAATCAGGCATAGGCAAACTCGGCCCTCCAGATGTTTTGGGACTACAACTCCCATCCCTAGCTAACAGGACCAGTGGTCAGGGTGATGGGAGTTGTAGTCCCAAAACATCTGGAGGGCTGAGTTTGCCTATGCCTGTATTAAATGCAACAAGAACAGTGAGAACAAATAGTTACAACCAGTGCTATTTTTCAAGAAAAAGACGTGTCAGAAGTCACCATGAATACCTCCCTTGTTCTCTTAGAATGACAATGGTGCCTGAACAGAGTTCTGGTGAGATCCTGGTTACAAAGCCCTGGTTACAACTAATTAAGATGGTGGCGTTGGTGCTAGCAGAAACATTTGGTGGCTTTGAGCAGCTAATTAGCACAGGATGGGGGGGGGGACCCCTTGAGGTGAATTGTGTGTGGATGGACTTCAGTGAGAAAGACTGTCTGAAGCAAGATGAGGTGATATGAAAAGTCTGTTGGTGGAGTTGGATCTAACAGTGAATCAGCGACGGGTATGCATGTGCAAACAAGGCTGTGTAAATTCCAGGACTGGCCCTTCAGTTAGACAAGGTGGGGTGAAACCACCTCAACTAGCAGATGCTGGATGTGTGGAAGGGGGGAAATGGCAGTGGCGGCATGACCCCCCCAACCCTGGCTGTTCCCAGCTGTTGGAGGACTGAGCTGTGAGTCCCTTCTTGACCTGCCATGTACCTCTTAAGCAATTTTATTGCCCTCAGGTACGGTGGAGGATGCTGCCCCGCCAAACAGTGCTGAAGTAAGATTGTCTGATCTGTTACTGCATATGAAATGGGGATGTTAGAAGCATCTCTTGTCCATCTCAGGCAGCAAAATGCTTTGGGCTGACCCTTAAAGTTATACCACATGTTTTCAGATCAGGCCTCTTTTTTGGACAGGAACAATGGGTGAATAGCAGGTGCTGGCAGATGCAGGAAGGTACATGTGGGAAGAGCTAATAAGCCCCACCTTACCCTTTTGAGCTCAAACAATTGCTTCTGGACAGAATCCTGTTAACAGACTATTTGTAGGATCTGCTCACAGCATCAGTGCTGGGGAAAAGAAGAAGTTAAGCCAGCTCTTAACCCGTTCTGCCATAACTTTCCAACATGTGTGTATTATTCACAGGATGACTTTCAGACTTAATTGTGTAAGCACGAAATGATACATCAGAATGAGCCCCCAAGAACGAGCTGTTAAAAATAAGTATCTTATGTGTCAGAGAAAATTATTTGAGCAATAACCATTCATCTGTCAAAAATGCAGAGCAGATGGTTGGTTCATTTCAAAACGACCTAAAAATGATTGCTAGCCAGGTAAAACGATGCTGCTTGAAGGCCAAGCAGAGCTTGCATCTTTCAGGGTAGAGGTTTGGTAAATGCTATGATGCTCAAGACTTTGAGCTGCAAAGCCCCCTTCATGCAGCAAATTCCATTTTCACCTTGGGTGGCAAAATGATTGCAGATTCAGGCCAGTAAGCAATGGGGATCTGGGCCTGGATTTGTGAAAGAGGTGCACAGAATGTCCTTCTGGTCTTTAACTTTGTTTTTTATCACACTAGTTGTGGTCATCAGTGGGCTCATTCGGTTGATTATGTTCTCATAAAGTCCGATTATGTTTCCTGTTTCTAACAACATTTCCCCCTTTAATAAAGCAAATTCATGGGAATCCAGGATCTGAATAATTTTTTCTTGGACCTGTGCATTCCATTTTAACCTTGTGTTTCCAAGTATCAGATATTCCGTTTCATCCAATAATTTAGGAAAGGCAGGAGAAACGAATGATGTCAGAGATAACTCAAGTGGAAAGTGGTCACTTTCAGCTCTGGGAATTATCCTGAAGGTATCTTGGTTAATTGGCACATTATTAGATGTTAGGATAGAATCCATGGTGCTAGTAAATCCTCTGGGGGAGATAAGAATGTCCTCCTAATTCACAGGACATCGGGCATAGCATATTGCTGTGTCTGCCAAGCTGTGTTGCTTTTAGCTGAAGCAGGTGTGGGAACCTTTTTGGAATGCTTTCTGCCCATGCCTGGTCACCTGTACTGATTTCTGTGTGCCCCACGCATGTGCTCAGTACACAGAAATGTCCTATTATATGGAGCAAGGAATTTATTTATTCATTGAATTTATATACCGCCCAATTCCCGCAGGTCTCAGGGTGGTTCACTCTACGCTGAGAGAGAAAACAGTTCAACGGTGGGCTGCCCTAAAACATTGGCTCAGGATTTCAGTGTTTGATCTAGGGAAGGGTTTGTACTAACATTTGACAAATGAGGAGTTTGTCAGCAAATGGCAGAAAACCATGGCTAGAAAAGCCACCTCTATTGGTCTGTCACCCCCACGCCCAACTTTATTATGAAGGCGCCCAAAAGACGTTAAAGCAAAGATTATGAGATAATACACACAGTGACTTGCGATCTCGATCACACGCAGTCAGTAGTCCGCTGGCAGTTGGAGTATAATATGGGCATGTCTTTAAGTTAACACCTTACATTAAAAACCTGACAGTACCAAATTATCGAAGGTTATTCTCCAAAGCCAGACTAAACGTCTTTCCTTCTGCAGTGTTGGATGGTAGGTTGAGAGGCGTTCCCTACCAGGACAGACTTGGCTCGTGTGCTCAAGACATCGACTCTATAAAACATATTTTGCTGCACTGTGTGAAATATGAGCAAGCTGAACTGATATTACCCTTGCTGGTACCTTTCCTGGGAAAATCAGAGGCTCACTATGTCAGGTTCCTATTGGAAGACCGGACAAATGCTAGAACATTAGCAGTGGCAAAGTTTTTATCAGTGGCTGCAAGAACCAATGGTCCCTATCTTTAAGTCTGAACAAAATGCTTGTTTAACCTGGAGGTGGGCTGTCTGAATTGTGCATTGCTTTGTAACGATTTGTTGGGTCTCTGGACTGTAATAAAGATTGATTGATTGATTGATTGATTGAAAACAGTTCAACAGGGATATTCAGATCCACTTCAAACATCGCAAGGTATAGTCCTATCAAGACACCTGTGTCACCAGAGAATGCACCCAGGCGTCTTTGAAAGTGGCTTTATGGCTTCACCCCACTCAGAAACTTTCCACTTATCATTATCCATTATGTAAACATTTGTACAGCACATATAATATCACCAGAGCAGCCTTGCTGGACCAGACCAGCAATTCACAGGCAGGATAAGGGTATCAGCCATTTCTGGCCATTATGCCAAGCAATGGGCAAAATTGGGCTTTATTTGATTCTGAAAGTATCATTATGACTGGTAGCCACTGGGAGCTTTATTGTCTGCTAATAGTAATATTTTTATTATTTATTAAATTTCTATATTGCCCTTCATGTCTATTTCTCCTTTAAACTCCTTTCAATCTGGAGTTTAGAAAGAGGCAGACCAACAGAAGCATAGAATCATAGAATCATAGAGTTGGAAGAGACCACAAGGGCCATCAAGTCCAACCCCATGCCAAGCAGGAAACACCATCAGGGCACTCTTGACATATGGTTGTCAAGCCTCTGCTTAAAGACCTCCAAAGAAGGAGACTCCACCACACTCCTTGGCAGCAAATTCCACTGTCGAACAGCTCTTACTGTCAGGAAGTTCTTCCTAATGTTTAGGTGGAATCTTCTTTGTTGTAGTTTGGATCCATTGCTCCGTGTCCGCTTCTCTGGAGCAGCAGAAAACAACCTTTCTCCCTCCTCTATGTGACATCCTTTTATATATTTGAACATGGCTATCATATCACCCCTTAACCTCCTCTTCTCCAGGCTAAACATGCCCAGCTCCCTTAGCCGTTCCTCATAATGCATCGTTTCCAGGCCTTTGACCATTTTGGTTGACCTCCTCTGGACACGTTCCAGTTTGTCAGTGTCCTTCTTGAACTGTGGTGCCCAGAACTGGACACAGTACTCCAGGTGAGGTCTGACCAGAGCAGAATACAGTGGCACTATTACGTCCTTTGATCTAGATGCTATACTCCTATTGATGAGGCCCAGTATTGCATTGGCTTTTTTAGCTGCCGCGTCACACTGTTGGCTCATGTCAAGTTTGTGGTCAACCAAGACTCCTAGATCCTTTTCACATGTACTGCTCTCAAGCCAGGTGTCACCCATCTTGTATTTGTGCCTCTCATTTTTTTTGCCCAAGTGCAATACTTTACCTTTCTCCCTGTTAAAATTCATCTTGTTTGTTTTTGCCCAGTTCTCTAATCTGTCAAGGTCGTTTTGAAGTGTGATCCTGTCCTCTGGGGTGTTAGCCACCCTTCCAGTTTGGTGTCATCTACAAATTTGATCAGGATGCCCTTGAGTCCATCATCCAAGTCGTTGATAAAGATGTTGAATAAGACCAGGCCCAAGACAGAACCCTGTGGCACCCCACTAGTCACTCTTCTCCAGGATGAAGAGGAACCATTGATGAGCACCCTTTGGGTTCGGTCAGTCAGCCAGTTACAAATCCACTGAGTGGTAGCATAGTCAAGGCCGCATTTTACCAGCTTCTTGACAAGAATATCATGGGGCACCTTGTCAAATGCCTTGCTGAAATCAAGGTAGGCTACATCCACTGCGTTCCCTTCATCTACCAGGCTTGTAATTCTGTCAAAAAACGAGATCAGGTTAGTCTGACATGACTTATTTTTCAAAAATCCATGCTGACTATTGGTGATCACAGCATTGCTTTCTAGGTGCTCACAGACTGTTTACTTAGTGATCTGCTCCAGAATCTTTCCTGGTATTGATGTCAGACTGACTGGGCGGTAATTATTTGGGTCCTCTCTTTTCCCCTTTTTGAAAATAGGGACAACATTTGCCCTCCTCCAGTCTGCCGGGACTTCGCCTGTTCTCCAGGAATTCTCAAAGATGACTGCCAGTGGTTCTGAGATCACATCTGCCAGTTCTTTTAATACTCTTGGATGCAGTTCATCTGGCCCTGGAGACTTGAATACATCTAAACTAGCCAAGTATTCTTGTACTATCTCCTTAGTTATTCTGGGCTGTGTTTCCATTGCTGAATCATTTGCTCCAAATTCTTCAGGTCAGGCATTGTTTTCTTTATCGGAGAAGACTGAGGCAAAGAAGGCATTGAGGAGTTCAGCCCTTTCTGTGTCCCCTGTTTGCATTTCACCATCTTCTCCTCTGAGTGACCCCACTGTTTCTTTGTTCTTCCTTTTACTACAAACATACCCATAAAAGCCTTTTTTGTTGCTTTTAACCTCTCTAGCAAGCCTGAGTTCATTCTGTGCTTTAGCTTTTCTGACTTTGTGTCTACACGTGCTGGCTATTTGTTTGAATTCCTCTTTGGTGGTTTCCCCCCTTTTCCATTTTTTGTACACATCCTTTTTAAATCTTAACTCAGTTAAAAGTTCTTTAGATAGCCACCCTGGCTTCTTTAGGCACCTTCCATGTTTCCGTCTCATTGGTATTGCCTGACGTTGTGCTTTTACTATCTCCCTCTTAAACAAACTCCCAGCCATCATGCACTCCCTTTCCTTTTAGTATTACTGTCCATGGGATCTCACCCAGCACTTCCCTAGGTTTTATGAAGTCGGCTTTCTTAAAGTCAAGAAATTGAGTCCTAGTATGCTTGGCTGCTCCTTTCTGCTGTATAGTAAACTTCAGAAGAGCATGATCACTCGTGCCTAATGATCCTTCCACTTCTACCCCACTAACCAGGTCATCAACATTGGTTAGGACCAGATCTAAAATGGCTGTTCCTCTTGTTGCTTCTCCCACTTTCTGGACAATGAAGTTGTCTGCAAGGCCAGTGAAGAATCTGTTTGAGCTTATGCTCTTGGCTGAGTTTGACATCCAACAAATATCCGGGTAATTGAAGTCCCCCATTACTACTATCTCCCTTCCTTTTGCATGCTTGGCCATCTGTTCCAGGAAGGCATCATCTATGTCCTCCGTTTGGCTTGGGGATCTATAGTAAACTCCCACAATGACGTCACTGTTATTCTTCTCTCCCTTAATTTTGACCCAAATGCTCTCACTTTGGCTTTGAGGTTCTAAATCTTGGATCTCTTCACAGGTATACACATGCCTGACATATAACGCCACTCCTCCTCCTTTCTTGTCTGGTCTGTTTCTCTGAAATAGATTGTATCCCTCCATTATTACATTCCAATCGTGGGACTTATCCCACCAGGTTTCAGTGATGCCTATTATGTCATATTTAGTTTGCTGTACCAAGAGCTCAAGCTCATCTTGTTTATTTCCCATGCTTTGCGCATTAGTGTACAGACATTGAAGTCCATTAATCACTCCCCCGTGACTCGTACTTAAGGATAGTTTCCTCCCCCCACTAGGTCTGTGTGCTGTTTGCTCCATTTGGTCTATAACATTTGGATGATCATCTTCATCAATTGATAGACTCCTACCTTCAGGAGCACTGTCTCCTTCCCCCACATTAGTCAGTTTAAAGCCCTCCTGATGAGGTTTCTGAGATTTTTGGCAAAAACATTTCTCCCAACCGTTGTGAGGTGCAGCCCATCGCTTGCCAAGTCAACTCAAAGTCAGGGGAGGAGCACAAGAAGACATCTCCAATTGCCGAGTTAGGAAAGTGGTTAGAGAAAAGCCTTCCTAAATAACTGCCTGCTTAGCAAGCACTGCCCAATCTTACAATGCACTGCCAACACACAAAGGGGATTGTCACCTTCTGTCCCTAAGGAAACTTTTCTTCTGCCATCAAAGGTGGCAGAGCCACCTCTGGCCTCCAAAGACCTTAGGCAGCTTCTCGTATATTGCTTTTGTGTCTGTTGAAACAGTAGAAATCTCAACATGACATAAGGACAGTTTGCCATTTGGCTCTCCTCCCACGACTAGTGTAGGCATTGCAGTGGCTGCTACTCAATGGAATCAGGCAGTGTAAGGTTACAGGACAGAGTTGAATTTCACTGAAACAAAACTTTGGACGTCAAAATGAACTGCTGGAGGGGTATTCAAAAAGCATAAGATTTGCGAGGAGAAACCAAGAGGAATCTACTCCCCTTGTACTCTTCTTAGTTTTCCCAAACATCCATTGTCCCAAAAGTTATTTTGATTTATCTGAACTTCAAAATATGCCTCAGAGAGTTGCAGAAAGACCTTTTCTAAGCAACCTTAGTGACTAATATTACTATGTAAGGAATATCAGCATGTTGAAAGGTTTTGTACCTTGGCTGTCCTTTGAAAGATGGGCCCTGGGAGGCAGGAAGGGGAGGGAGAAAGGGAGGGGTACGTCTCTGGGAGGGGTGAGACCTTACTTCTTTTCCCAAAGCGGGATAAGACTTTTTGCAGTCTTGAAAGCCTAGAAAAGAAAGAGAAATGGGACCCAGAGCACTCTCCTGAGCACTCTCCTGATCTGCATCCCAAGAGAAATCTACTATCTTATTCATGGATTGTTTCTGAAACATCTGTAGACATTTCCAATTCCAACACAAAGTTGCCCACTTTAATGCCATTGGAGGGGGGACATTAGAGCAGTCTCCACAGATTGCAGCGCAGAAATTTACAAGAGAAGGAAGGTTCATCCATGGCAATATGTCTTTTCGGGAAGTACTTGTCTACCAACATTACGGCACTCTGCTGTTCTCTGTCTGGCGACTTCTGCATTCTGCATTGTCTTCTACCCCACTATCTTCCTGACAAACACAGGAGTTGCCCATGCTACTAGCCCCCAAGGTTTGCAGCGAAAAGGGAATGTGCTGTTCAAGGGTCAGCTGTAAACCTTGAAGGCTCCTGCTCACATAGAACACAACCAAAGCAGCAACAATCATCTAGACAATTTTAAAAGCAATGTTTTTTTGGATCCTGAATTGCAGCCTTTGCATCATATGAATGACATTTAGAACCACCCTTTGCTGTTTCCATAACGGCTGCTCCCATTTGATTATCACAGTATAACACAAAAGGTCTCCCATCTTCCCATCGAACGCTCCAGGCTACTGGAAAGTACCGAGTATGAATCAATTAAAAGGTGGATGGTATACAACATGTTAGGTATCAGAACTATGCCCACTCTATACAGTGGAGGCAGCATCCAAAAGTAACAGAGTGCAGCTCATGTGCTCAACTTACCATTCACTTGAAGAACATGGTAGACCTCCAGACTAGTACGTTCAGATAATCAGATCTCCCCGTTTCTTTTGCTGCACACCAGTCTCTCATTGCCAGTGGTTGTCCTCTGTAAGTTGTGCGTGTTGGGAGGAAGAAATCTCACCACCAATACAATAGTATCTAGCGCTCACTTGGACTGGTAGGGCAGTGTCAGTGTGCTGTCAACGAGCCAGGTCAACCACAGACCAGGACACACACATGGGAGGAACAAAATACAATTTATTTACAGAAATTAACAACACAGCACAGTCCTCTAGTTCGGCTCCCCTCTTGATAGCTCAAACCCCATGGTTCTTGCACCTCCCAGCTCATCCTTCTACAGACTGTTCTTCAGTTTCCCACCACCATCTGGGAATCTAAGTTGTCGTCTTCTGTGTCCCGGGGGGGGGGGCTCTTGGGCGGGCGGTTCCCACCACACTTCCTCATACAGCCAGTTCCTGACAGGCAGAAGGTAGAGAGCCCAATGGCAGGTACAGCCATCTAATTCTAGTATTGTCCCCGTTCATCTCCCTGGTGAGTTCTACAAGGGGCAAGCACCAACATGAAGCTGACGGGCAGTGTCATCTGCTAGACTGGTTGTAAGTAGGCAGGTTGGGGGGCAGGCTGAGGGGAGACTGAGGTTGGCCAGCGATGCCCATTCACCCTAAATAACTTTCGAAACCAAAGGGCAGTAATTCATTCGAAAACCAATCTCAGCTTGTCGTACAAAAAGTGTTAGGCCACCCACACCTTTGTCAGAGGGAGCCCAACTGAACCCAATTCAACCTCCTGCTGGGTACAGAAAATCCAGAACGGAATATCCATCAAGAAAAGGACAATTGCAAAGTTTAGGCTCTGTACTTCATATTCATCAAAGTGGAATGTTTGGTGAATTTCTTAACAGGGGGTGGGGGAGGTTACTCCACCCACATCAGTAGGATGAAATAATTCCCAGGCATGAATCACGCACAGTTTACAAATTATTTCAGGAAGATAATAATATCATAAATGAGTCAGATGGAAATGTGAGGGCGTACGGAAGGAATTCATAGCTGTCAAGTGTTTTTATGGGGCAAGTTTGTAACGTAGCCTTAGAAAACCAAGCAATGGTTCAGAAAACTGAATAAGACCAAGAGGGAGCCATAAAGCTATCTCTCAAATATTTGGTAGGCCGAAAACAGACAAGAGCCACAATATTCATTCACACTTAGTGTGCAGGATTGGCACCCATGGGGGATTTCCTCTCAATTCAGATACCAGATTTGAAGAGAAGATTTTCCTCAGGACCAAAACAAGAAGAAAGGGTTAAAATGTGAGAAAGGGGACTCACAATACTCTCCTGATCTAAATCCCTAAACTGGTTTGGGCATTCAGGACTCAAAGCTCAAGATGAATTCACTTCCCTAGGCATATTATAATGGGTATCCTGTGAAGAGAGTGCTTGAATACTCTACCAGAATAGCACCCACTGGATATTATAAGACAATTCTCATCATCTCATTGAAAGAGGTGGATTTGCTTATGTGGAGAAGGGAAGTTTAAAAGAGAAACATCAAATACCACATACTAATAATACTATAGAAGGAAACAGCAGCCTGCTGAAGGGTTTTGTACCTTGGCTGTCCTTTGAAAGATGAGCCCTGGGAGGCAGGAAGGGGAGGAAGATCTATTACCCTCTCCAGAGGGCATTCTTAATGCTCCCATGGCGAGTTAGCAAGTGACTCTTTTGTCACTAGCCCAGAAAGAACGCCCTTCTGCAAGGCATGACATGTTATTAGTTTTCCTTTTCCTAAAGTGTAAGCAGAACCCACAGTCACTTCCTTTCATTTGATGTTACAAAACAGTGGGTGGAGTCATAAAGATGCCCAGAAGGGCTGGCTGAAGCATTTAAATTATTCCTGATCTTAATCTCTTAAATGTTTCCTAAGACTGTCAGGGAGCATTATCTGCACAGAATGCAGATGCTGATGAGAAAGTCTACTTACGTCTCCATCCACTTTCTCTCTCACTTGCTGAATGATCAAACCAAAGGAGATCGCTATGCCTCTAGAGGTCCAATGAGCCAGCAGAGGGAGGTGTCACAATGAAGGGCGTGTCACAAGGACCTCCGCAACCTAGCAACCACCAGCACTCAACTGACACTACTCTCAACTGACGCTACTAAGCTGCTAAGTTTTAATCCACATTCAGCTTTTTACAAATATGTAAAATGAAATTTATTCCTTTATATTCAAGCTTCCGTTGTTCCTACACCTACTGAGCATTAGCTATCTAATCTACTATCTGCCTCTTTGGTCCTATATTGCTGAACCTAAAGTCACCTCTTGCGTATTTATTCAGTTTATTACCCTCCTTCACCAGCAGGTCCCAGGGCAAGTTGCAACCATCTAAAATTATTGTTGTTGTTGTCATTAATTAAATTTGTATACCACCCTATACCCACAGGTTTCAGGGCAGTTCACAGGATAAGATCACAATTTAAAAATACAAAATACATAATAAAAACAAAACAACCCAATAACCTCCCCCCAACACAAAAGGGCACTGGGTGTCAACAGGGCAAGTCTTGAAAATACAACTCTCTGGTGTCAAAGGCCAGGTAACAGACCCCCCAAGTGCCCCCATTTCCCAGGGACACTCCCAGATTTACAGAAGCTGTCCCAGTTTCTAATGTGATTCTGGAATGTCCTGCTTTTCCTTAGGACCTCCCTATTTTAAACATTCCCTAAGACTGTCAGAGAGCATTACCAGCACAGAATGCAGATGCTGATGAAAAAGTCTACTTACATCTCAATCCACTTTCTCTTTCACTTGCTGAATGATCAAACCAAAGGAGATCGCTATGCCTCTAGAGGACCAAGGAGCCAGCAGAGAGAGGTGTCACAATGAAGGGCGTGTCACAAGGACCTCCACAACCTAGCAACCACCAGCACTGAACTGACACTACTCTCAACTGACACTACTAGGTTTGCTTATATGGCTTTTAATCCATGTTCAGCTTTTTACAAGTATGTAAAATGAAATTTATTCCTTTATATTCAAGCAGTCCTATCCTTTTCAGTGTCGTCCTATATTGCTGAACATTGGAAAACCAGAAATAATCCCTTGTGTGTTTATTCATTTTATTACCCTCCTTCACCAGCAGGTCCCAGGGCAGCTTACAACCATATAAAATTATTACTGTTGTTGTTATTAATTAAATTTGTATACTGCCTTATACCCACAGGTTTCAGGGCAGTTCACAGGATAAGATCACGTATAGAAACACAAAATACTTAATAAAAACAACCCAATAATGCCCCCCCCAAAACACATTTTAAAAGGGCATTGGATGTCAGTCAACCAAAGGCCTGGTTAAAGAGGAGCGTTTTTGCCTGGCTCCTAAAGGTACATAATAAAGGCGTCAGGCATTCCACAGAAGGGCAGCCATGGCAAAGAAAGGCCTGTTCACATGTTGCCACCCTCTGGACCTCTCAAGGAGGAGGCGCACGAAGAAGGACCTCAGAAGATGATCTCAGGGTCCAGGTAGGTTCATATGGGAAGAAGCTGTCCTTGAGGTATTGGTGTCCTGAGCCATTTAAGGCTTTCTAGGTCAAAAGCAGCACTTCGAATCGGGCCCGGAAACTAACTGGTAGCTAGTGCATTAAAATTCACTATTAAACCAGTTAAAACAAATTATAGGAACAGGGCGAGTCTTGAAAATACAACTTTCTAGTGTCAAAGGCCCGGTAACAGACCCCCCCCCAAGTGCCCCTATCTTCCAGGGACAGTCCCAGATTTACAGAAGCTCTCCCAGTTTCTGATTTGATCCTGAAATGTTCCACTTTCCTTAGTATGTCCCTATATTCATCAGGGATATGTTGGAGGGTATGCAGTTATGCGATCCCCGAGCCAAGAAGATAAAACCTTTCAAAGACATCTGAAAGCAGTTCTGTATAGGGATTTTAAAAAAATGTTTAATGTTTTATTACATTTTTATATATGTTGGAAGCCGCCCAGAATGGCTGGGGGCAACCCAGTTAGATGGGTGGTGTACAAATAATAAAATTATTATTATTATTATTATTATTGAATAGGATGTCCTTATTTTTATTAGAGAAATTTTGGAGGGTATTGTGCCAGCTGTGATTCCCAATAGTTATTATTTGTCTTCCCACTAATGCTATTTTTAAAGCTTGCACATTAAATGCAAAGACATATGTCATTTAACCTCACATCTAACTTCACCCTGACTTTGAAAGGCATCTAGCGGTTGGCTGGGCCTCACTCCAAGTGGGCCTCACTCCAAGTGGTTGGAGTTTGAATCAAATGGGGGGTCTGGACTCTGCATAACAATGAGAGTAAGACTTTTTAAACACACACACACAAATGTGATGCCAATTTAAATGAACAACACCCAAACAGCTGTAGGAGTATTGTGACAGAAAGAAGAGCAGAAAAGACGCAACATAGAGACCCTAAAAGTGTCCCTATTTTCCAGGGACAGTCCCTGATTTACAGAAGCTGTCCAGGTTTCCGATTTGATCCTGGAATGTCTCGCTTTTCCTTAGGACGTCCTTGTTTTCATCAGAGAACTATGAGATCCATCAGAGAACTATGAGATCCAAGGAGATAAGTAACCATACAACTTTTAGAAGATATCTGAAGGCAGTCCTGTATATGCAATTTTTTATGTTTAATGTTTTATTATGTTTTTATATATGTTGGAAGCCACCCAGAGTGGCTGGGACAACCCAGTCAGATGGGTGGAGTATAAATAATAAAGTCATAATCATCACCATCATCATACCCTGTTTTCATTGGATAAATGTTGGAAGGTAGGATCACATCAACTATGGGGATGCAAAAAAGGATCTCAATAGCCCTAGGGAAAGTGAAGGGCTGAGATGGAGAGCATCATTTGCACCTCTGGAGACTCCCCCAGGTGACTTTGAACCCTGAGATTTTGCAGGGTTCTAAATTGCTCCCTCGACCAATAAAGCGAGATGCGCACTGCAACCCCAGAGTCGTCCGCGTCTGGACCTAATGGTCAGGGGTCCCTTTTCCTTTTTAAATTGCACAGGGAGTCTCCAGGAGCACAGCAGGCTCCCACCCCTATTGCAAACCTTCACCCTCCAATGTGCCGGATTAATTGTTGGCGATTCGACAGCGGGGGCAGAGCCAGCTAACATATCCCCGTTCTCCCCTGCATGATATGAGGCCAAGGATGGCTGAGCAGGGCTACCCCAGGGCTAAGCGCTTTTCCCTTTGGAAATAAGCTCCAATAACTACGATCGGGCATCCATCCATTGGAAATGCCATTCGGACGGGATCACAGTCACAATATACATCAAAGGGGACGTTTGAAAGATCATTCTCCCCGCACTACCAATATCAGATCAAACTTTGCACAAACAATATAGAGTGCCGGCACTTCAGAAGCTATTTTCTTTTAAAGAGCTCAGCTGAAACATCAATAGGCTCGGTGTCAGAAAAGTTGATGCAATTCATTCCTGAAGCATTAAGACTTTTTTTTTTAATATTGGGCAGATGCAATAAAAATGTGACTGGAGTCAAGACCAGAGTACAGTCATTCCAATAGGTCTCTAAATTTAGCTGGAATTTGGGATGTGCCGGTTTTTAAAAACCGAATAAAGTGTCAGCGCATTGAGTCTCCAGCTTTTGAGAGATTGAACTATTCACACTGTAGAATCCTAGACGTTTCTACTCAGAAGTCAGCTGCAATGGAGTTCAGTGGGATTTATTCCCGGCTAAGAAAGTACAGGATTTTTTAAAAATTAAAATTTATTACAGTGGTCAGCATGGCATAACAACAAAAAAGACTCAGATCAGCAATATAGGCGCACAAGACAATTCTGTTAAAACTTTGTAACTTATTAGGGAACGGAAGAAGAAGAAAGTGCAGGATTTCAGACTTATTAACTAAATAAACAGTACTACAAAGATGACTAAGACCAATTAATGAAAATAAAACACAGTATGAACTCTCACCAATTAACATAGACAATGATTTCTTTTCCAAAAATAATTTTGCAGCCCAGTCCCATCTTCCGGTTTAGCTATTAATATAGTGCAAACAAAGGCTTTGGCAGGAACATATTATGTTATGAAGCTTGTAGACCACTGGTGGTCCTTGGGCCACAGTTTCAGAACCTCTAGCCCAGCATATGCATTTTTGGTACACAATACTTAGCTGGAAAACTGCTTTGCAAAATTTGGAGAAGTGGAACTTTCAAAGGATGGTTGTGTTTTGGTTCATGTATCAGCTCAGAAAGTGCAAACATTCATGTGAATACAACCTGAACTGAGTTTCTATCCCCATCCCAAAAAAGAGAGTAAGCCCCACCAAACTCAATGGCTGTATGCACTCACACCCTCCAACATTTCTCTGATGAAAACAGGGACATCTCATTCAACAACCACAACAACAACAACAATTTTATTATTTATACCCTACCCATCTGACTGGGTTCCCCCAGCCACTCTGGGCAGCTTCCAACATATATAAAACATAATAAAACATTAAACATCAAGAAACTTCCCTATACAGGGCTGCCTTTGGATGTCTTTTAAAGGTTGTGTCATTACTTATCTCCTTGGCTCTGGAGTCGCATAACTCCAGACCCTCCAAGTGTCCCTATTTTCCTTTTTTTAAAAAATACATTTTTATTAGTTTTTAAGATATTAATTATCATTCATACAACAAAGCTTCTCATCTTATACAGTGGTACCTCGGGTTACTTACGCTTCAGGTTACAGACTCCATTAACCCAGAAATATTACCTCGGGTTAAGAACTTTGCTTCAGGATGAGAACAGAAATTGTGCAGCGGCAGCAGGAGGCCCCATTAGCTAAAGTGGTGCTTCAGGTTAAGAACAGTTTCAGGCTAAGAACAGACCTCCGGAACGAATTAAGTACTTAACCCGAGGTACCACTGTACAATAATTTTGGACTTCCGTCAACACCTCTGGTTATTTTTCGTTCTTATCACTTATTATGCATTTCTTAATTTCATATTACCTTTAATTATCTTTAACTAAGAATTCTCCTCATTGTCTTTTTTGCAATATTTCAAATAATTCACCTTACAAAACTTCTTGCAAACCTGCTAGTGTAATCTGTTCATTACAATTACTTTTCAAATAGTCCGTAAATTTACTCCAGTCTTCTGAGAATCTCTGGTCCCGCAGGTTTCAAATTCTTCCTGTTAGTTTATCTAATTCTGCATAGTCCATCATTTTCATCCTCCATTCTTCTTTTGTCGGTAATCTCCCTATTTTCCAGGGATGTTCCTGATTTAGAGAAGTTCTCCTGGTTTCTGATTTGATCCCTGAATGTCTCACTTTTCCTTAGAATATTCCTATTTTCACTGGAGAAATGTTGGAGGGTATGGAGTTGTCCGATCCTTGAGCTATCTGAAGGCCATTCTATCTAGGGAAGGGGTTTTTATGTTTAGTGTTTTATTATGCTTTTATATATATTGGAAGCCCAATATATATATAGAGTGGCTGGAGCAACCCAGTCAGATTGGTAGGGTATAAATAGTAAAATTATCATTATGGAATGGGACATCCCTATTTTCATCGGAGAAATGTTGGAGGGTATTTCGTAGGCCAATCAAATGTATCCGATGCAGTTATTTCAGTGTAGACACACTATTTGCTTTACAGTGGGAGAAGTAGTACAGCTACCCAATTTTACCTCAGTAAGATTATCATTATGGAATGAGACGACCCTATTTTCATTGGAGAAATGTTGAAGGGTATGTAACCCTCCAACATTTCTCCAATGAAAATAGGAACGTCCGAAGGAAAAGAAGGACAT